CCCCCCCCCCCCCCCCCCCCCCCCCCCCCCCCCCCCCCCCCCCCCCCCCCCCCCCCCCCCCCCCCCCCCCCCCCCCCCCCCCCCCCCCCCCCCCCCCCCCCCCCCCCCCCCCCCCCGGGGCGTGTTTCAATTGAAATCCAACTATTCTTGATGAGTTGTATAATAGCTATGATTGAAAAAAGCCTCTTGAGGGTGTGTCTTCAGTTCACCAAACTACACCCATACTGATACGGTATGCAATTGTAATTGTAAATATACACCAATAATTCAAAAAAAAACGATGAGACATGCCTCAATTTTTATAGATTCGAAATTTGTACCATTACTTTCGATTATCGTTGTATTTGTAGACTTGCTAGTATATTTGCAATTAGATAGGCAAGAAACTAATTGATCGCATTAAGTAAATTTCTTTTTGGTTCGAACGATCGAACTTTTATCATTGGCTACTACTCTACAACTGAAATATATTTAACTATCCGATCGGCATGAATTAAATTTTATGAAAACAAAACAAAATTTCACAAATGAGAACACACAAAGTTAGTAATATTAAATGATATCGTTTTTTTTTAATTATGACAAATCGAGTATTTGATTAATACATGTATCAATACATTGTTCTTCGTTTAGAAATTTATTGTCATTACCTTTACAACCTGAATATTCAAATTGTTTGCATCTATGGTTTTTATTATCATAATACCACATATTAACATGACCGAAACAGTCACCTCGATCAGGTAATGGAGAACATACTGAAAATATAATATACACGCATAGAAAAAGTTCCTACGCATAAGACAAACTGACTTTTGCATTCTAAATGGCATTCATGTAATGTTTGAAAATTATTTCCATTTCCACCCAAACCACGATAAATAAATAAATGACAAGTATCTTGATCAGGATTATAATACCAACGATTATGATATTGAATATGAGCACCATGAAAACCAGTATCTTGCGGTTGATAACAACGAATTGGTCGATCTAAAATTAGAAATGTAAAATTTACCCAATCAGATTCTCTAATTCTACCATGTTCATTGTGATTTTCCGGTTGACATAAAGGTTGTCCACTGTCTATTACAATACATGTATCATTCCCAAAACATTGATAATTCTATTTAGAAAAAAAAAATACATTCTGTAAGCAAAGTTTCCTTTTGTGACTTTGTGAATCCCTTACTTGACATGGTGAATTGCATAGACATGTACCATTGAGAATTGCAAAACCGTGTGGACATTGTTTTAAACATTGGCACGAACGATCACATATCGAAATGTTAATTGATTGTAATGATAAAATAGAAGTTTCATTAGTAGATAATTTTTTCGTATTTATAATAATTTCATTCGAATTTATTGCAAATTCATCACTTGTTGTGCTCGCAGACGAATCATTATATGATATTGTTTCAGATTTATCATTAAACAATAAGCCCCATTCATGCGTTTGATTATTGTCTGTTGCATTATAAGACATTGTCGTATCATCTAAAGGAATTGTTGAAGTAATTCGTTCGATTTCATCAATATTTTGATTGTATTTTTCCTGTGGTAAAATGTTAATCTGATCAATGGTTGTAGACTCATTTTTGTCATGAGCATCTGTTTGATTATCTTGTAAAATTTTGTCAATAGTTGACAACGCAATTTGACTTTCTTCCGTAAGATTACGTTGTACGAGCGAATAGTCCGACACTGCATTTTCGGTTGAAGATATTTCCAAGATTGTCTCATTGACTTGCGATGAATTTGTTGGATTGAAAAAATCATGAAAACTTTCGATCATTGATAAATTTGATTCTATTAATAAACTACTAATCGTAGTTGGCTCCAACGAAGACGTATCAACAGTCTGATTTAAAGATCGAAATAGTTTACCAAGAGCAGTTGCAATTTCATCATTCTCAATCTGTCGAATATCCCGCTGTTGTTGTTTCATCAAAGGTTTTGATTTTGAATATTCACTATTCGTGATTGAAGAATCTAAGTGTCTATTTTGAAGTGAATATAATGGATTACGAATAGTAGCACTTTTAGTCAACTAGAACATAAGACAGAACAAAAACATCAATCAACATTGCAATGTGTTATTAATTTTAATACTCACGTGTGTAATGAATAGTAGGTAGAAAACATATAATGTATAAGAGCAATAAATGGCCATGTTTTTCTGATAATGTTAATCTTCGAATGAACTCGAGCTTCTTTCTCATACTAGTTGATACAAGGAAAAATATCCGTCATTCTTCTTTTTTTCTCCCTATTATCTCTCGAATATCATAACACTCATTATTATGATAGACAGTCGATTCTGCCATTTTTTGTTTTCTTTAGGTTGTCTGATGTAATATTTTGATAGTCGGTCTATGTTCAAGTAGAAATATTTTCTTCTTCTAAGTGTACATTATCAGTACAAATATGATCTAAATTGAAGTTGTCTTGTTTACTTTTGTGCCTGTAATTACAACAGAAAATTGATGTTTACAAAAATGCAACTCTATTTCATAAATGCTCCAGAAAAAATCACATGATCCATCTCTATGTAGGATCTACATATGGTTCATGTCGATCTTTTTCCTTTTCTTGAAAATAACACAGCATCGAGACAATCATCTAGTTTATTTTTCAAGGTTTGTTAATAATTGTCCGCTTTACATTGTTTTTTGTTGTTTTGTTATGATGAAGAAGAACAAAGAAAACATTTTTTTAAATTTCATTTTTGATTACACCATACGATTTTTTTGATTCATTTGATTAAATACATAATTCTGGCAAAATGCTCCTTAGTGATATATTGCGCAATCAGATCACTGCCTTGGATAGTATACAAGAATAATTAGACGAACTGTCGATCATTGTTTGCGTGATTGCCGTACACGTCTTTGCAGATGATTAGGCTCATTGGTGGAAGAAGAAAAAAAATTTGTCCGACTATTGAAATTTTTTCTTAGTGATGTAATATCAAGACGCAAGAAAATAATTGTCAATTGAACATATAGAATCTTAAAAGATTGAATACATGTGTTCTTGTTTGTGTTTTTTTAGTATTTCTTTGAACAATTTTGTTCAAGTTGTGAAACAATAATGTATTGTAGAAATGGATTTGAATTCCTTTGTCATTATTGCATTCTAACACAAACATATTTGATTATTAAATTGCATCGTCATCCATTATCGTATTGAGTTGTATGCAATGCTTGCAGCGAAAAACTTTTTGCATACTCACTCTTCAAAATGCATGTTACGGATACCTTAGATTTAATTGTACGGTTTGATTCAAATTCAAACTCTTCATTCGTCGTCTTTCGTTCTGTCTCTCGTTTTGACATCTATACATTTTACATGCGAACAGCTATCGATTTTTCTTTCACTACAAATTTCACAGGAGAAAAAAAAAATTGAATAAAGAGAAAGTGAAAAGAATAAGTTCAACGACACGGCATTGCATTTTTCTTTTAAGTGCAAGGTAAGAATCATTTCTACAAGCTTTTTTTTGTCTCAGTGTCAATATGTAGCTCTTTTTAGACGTTTACTTTTCAATGCGTCGGATGATGATCAACTGTTTTTGTTTTGTTTTCAAATGATAAGTGTTTAAATAGACATACACACATTCATCCAAGGATGTCGTTGAACGTTTCTATTGAAAAGAATTCTGTAAATATAAAAAAAACAATCGCTTTGTTTGAATTTAATAGTCACATGAAGGAATGAATGAGTAGTAGAAGTTAAGGTCTATTTATTCATAGCTTTTATTTTCAGATTTAATTGTCTTCATGGTTACAATCGATGATAATTATCAGTCGTATCCTTTGGTGAAACAATCCAAAGTACGAAAATTACGTACATATACATCATCGGCAAGTTGCAGTAGTGTTAGTGGAAGTTCAGCAAATAATTCACCTATTGTTGATAAACAAAAAATATATCAGCAGCAGCAGCAGCAACATCATCATCATCATCATCATCATCATCATGGCGATACAGATGAGGGTTATGCAAGTTTTACAACAGCAAGTACTACATTAGGTAGTAATAATAGTGCAACATTTAATAAAGATGATAGTGCTTATTCGACATCTGTTTCTGAACGTTTATTTACTGCGACAACAACAGCTTCATCATCGTCGTCATCGTCGAGAGTTATCGTTGAAACTGATTCCGATAAGTCAGAACTATCGGACGAAGATGATGCATTAAAAGAATTAGTCGATTGGCCTTCACTTAATAAACAAGTGCAAACACTTGTTTCTCGTCTTGATAAGTGGCTTCATAATCCATTGCCTGATCGTTATATACCTATTGAAAAATCTTTTGTTGAACATGCATATCCAGTTTTGAATCGACGAACATCTTCAATACCGCTTTCGATCAATTTAGCTGCTGATGAAACTGAGAAAGCTTATCATCAATCAAATTATATTGTCAATTTTGTACAGAATAATGAAGTTCCTCAACAAAAAAAAGCAGTGCCGAAAATTCATATTTCTCGACCACATGTACATTTTAATCTTCCAACAGAACAGGTACGATTATTACAAGCGAAAACGAAACTTGTCATAAATTATGTTTTATCTTTACCTTTAGCTTCAACATTGCACAACTTGTTCGAGACTTATTCAATTGACTTCTTCAAAATTCATTCAACGATCATTAATCACATGCCCCTATTGCGAACAAATATATTGTAGTAAAGCTTGTCAAAAATCTGATTGGCCAATACATAAACGTCAATGTATTCTATCGAATTCGTATTCATGTTGTGGTTACATATTACGTTTAATGAAAAGTAATGTTTATTTATTAGAACGTCTAAGCACTTTGGCATCAAGTGGATATTTATCGTCAGGACGAGGTGCTACATTACTTTACTTCAATAATATGCAAGAAGCCGATGACTATGTACAATCGAATACCATAGAAAATACACGTTTAATGGCTGTTTATTGGTCATTAGCAGATACACAACCGAATCGTGCTATAGAAAATCTTCGTTCAACTGAATATGATCATTTAAAAGAACTTTGTATGAATTATGATCCAAGTAAAGAATTTGTTTGTCATGTGACAATTGGAGTCGAAGCAGATAAAGGTAAAACTAACAAGAACAAAAAAGAATAGGCAGTAAAAAATTCATTAAATTAAATTTTCTTTTATCTATTTTATAGGTAAAGCACGTTATACATGTGTTAGTCGAACAACTATCCATAAGCTACTTGAAACTGTACCTAATTCTCAAGCACAAGCGAATTTACCAAGTACATATCCGACTTTATATTTAACATCGTTGAATTATGGTGAAAAAAATAATACAAATAATCAACATATGCGTCAAGTATTTTTTGCTAAATTACAAGTTGAATTACGTCAACGCGGAATTGAAATCGAAGAGCATTATCCGGAATTGTATAATAAACTCTGTGATTATATATCAACAACGCCTGACAATGAAAAAATCGTAGCATTTACACCTGTATGTTTATTTATGAGACATCGATATTCTCAACAGCTATTTATGTGTGTCATAACACCAGAATCTGAACCTGATAGATCATGGCTACTTGATCGTTGTTTAATTGAAAAACAATTAACTATTTGTGATAATTGATAGAGAGATAGGAAATAGAAAAAAAAGAAAACGATGAAAAATATGTTATATGCATTCGTATTACTCTAGTTTGTTTTCACTATATATAATTTGCCATGAAATGGCCGACAACTTTTTTTAGTATTACATAAAAAAACACTTTGCGATAATTGAGAAGAAGTATTCAAAGTATGCTCATATTTACGAATAGAAATACGAGGTCGAATATGATTTGTTATTGTTGTCGAGCAAGTTTTATTATGTACACATCATTGAAAATTATGTGATAACCATGAACACTACAGATTAAACTTTTTAGGGTTTCACTCGATTTTATTATGTTTTGCTTAAGCTTTTTTGAGATAGTTTCATGAAGTATGTTGCGGGTAAATTTTTACTAATATGACGTTTCTACGGATTTAAATCGGTCTAGACAATAAGATTTCCTTGAAAATATTATATATTTTTTCGGGAAATGCATTCAGACAATCTCACTTGTGTAATTAATGAAAGTCTTTTTTTTTTCTACCGCAGAAAGAGTTATTTATTGATATTGGAAAAATCAAATAAACGATGTTATAAATAATTGAATCCACAAAATAATCTCTAATGTAAATGATAGTAACGCGCAAAAAGCAAACAATGGAAACATAAGCCAAGCTTTTATTGTGCCTCCCGTTTTTACTGGCAAAATGTTTTTGCGATCTTACAAACCACAACTGTCTGTAGTTTCTAGTCTACAGATCATCTGCATTTTTTTCTTTTGTTTAAAAGAACTTGTCAAGATTTAAAACGTAAAATATGAAAAAGTATTTTAATAACTATATTGTCAATGTTAAAGAGGTTTTTTTGGCGGCATTGAACTTGCCATTTTTTCTCCGCTTAAAAAATTTAAATAAAAAAAAATGTTCTTTCACGCATTGCATCTTGACTTACTTTTAAGAACAAAAAAAAAAAGAAATTTAATATATCATGTGAAGACCTACGAAGAGTGTCGGCTTGTCAAACGAGCTACTTTTCACCTTTGCTTGTTGAGTATGTCTCTCTCAAATGAAATGGCAAGGTGCAGTGTGGGAATTTTTACTGTAACCTTTTCACTATCATAAAACTTTCAGATGATTTCAATACGCTTAGTGAGAAATTGATTTTTGAGACGATAGGATTGCTTTAGTTAGATCAAATTTAAAATAAATGATTACTTCTTTCTTCTAGGTTTTGATTTTGCCTAAGTTGTTATTAGATATTATGATTTATTTATCTTTCTCACAAGAAACAATATTTGGTTGTAAAATATATCATATTAATCATTAGAAAATTTAATTAAGATTGTTGTTACAGTTCTCTATACGAAACATACATTATTAACTTCTTCTATTGATCTTCGTACCATACAAAAGAGTTTCATGTAATCAAAAGTTGATCAGCTTCATGAAGCCTTTCAACGATTGACTGAATGTATTAAGTTGTGCACACATATTTCTTCGTTGATTCACTCGATTCATCTTGAACTGTAATCGATATTATGATTGTGTCCTTGAAAAGGAAACTGTTTTCATTTGGGTTTCATCGTTCAACGTTCGTTTATTTGAATTGCTTGTTAAAATAAAACTCAAGGAAATACGATTTCTCTAAATTTCAAGCAATGGCATCTATGTAGAGGTCCCATAATAATTTTTTTTCTAATTATTGATCATTTTCATGTTCGTTACGTTTTACAAAACAAAAGTTGATAATAAAATTCTAACAAATCAATATGTTTGCCATGTGCAATAATTGATCACGGAGAGAATAGCAAAACAATCCTTGGTTTATTTCGATATATATATATATATATTTATGTGTGTGTGTATGCAGCGAAATACCACCTACTCCTTTTGCTAAATACAAATTTGATGAGATTATTGATGTGATTATAATTTTTGTTTCGAAATATAAAAAAAATGGAAACTACCAGAAATAGCTCCATATAAATAATAACAACATTCAAGGCTGTATTATCAATGAATGTAACTTGTACTTTAGCAAGTTCGATAGACTCATATGTATATATCTGCAGCTGATGAATGAATGAAGATAGTTTTAAAACATTGAAATGAAGTGAATCATAAATTTTAGAGAAAATTAAAGTATCGATATAAATTAGTTTTTTTAATTTTATAGATGAAACGTCTTCTCTATATATTATTTTCACTGATCAGTGAAGCTTTCATACGTATGTTTCATTGTAAAAATCAATGAATGACGTAGTATTTTGATTGTTTCTATTTATCGCATAGCAATTGCAAGTCAATGTGCCGGTGGTATTTGGCCTATACAAGATCCAACTATTGGCTCATATACTGTGTCATGGAGATATAATCCGGCTTCGAATACAGTTCAATTTATTATTCAAGGTAAAATTTATCAGAGATATTCATTTTTCAGTCAATGATTCTTGATGTAAAAATTTAGGACAAGCAATAGCTGCTGTGGATCTTACATCGACCTATATTGCAATTGGGTGGTCCGATAAAGCACCAACTATGGTTCGTTTTGTGCTGAAAAATTCTTTTGTTTTTCGATGGACGATTATATTTAGTAGATAGTTGAGTTTCTTTTATAGGAATTTTACTAAATCTCGATATTTGACGGGGAAAAGTACTACTTTTTTCTATTTATTAGACAAGTATGGATGTTGCAATCTACTTTCCTGGAACGCAGATAGTTCAAGATCGGTAATTAAATTTTTCTTGCAATGAATACTTATTCAATTTCTTTTTCGTACAGATATTCTCAAGGACATAATACACCATCAGTGGATACTCAACAAGATTTTTGTGTTATTCAATCAAATTTAACTGATAAAAATGTTTACGTTTCATTTGAACGATTTGTAACAACAGGCGATACGAAAGATATTAGTTTTAGTTCAAATCTTTATCTCATGTTCGCTATGGGTCCATACACATTTTCAAGCAATACCAGTAGGCTCAGTCCTCAACATCATTTTTTTCGTATTGCATTACAACGCAGTTTAAGTCTTATCAATTGTGTTTCAAGTAAATTAGTTTTTTTTTGTTTTGACACGTGATCATTTCTTATTTAGTTGGCTGTTCAACAACACCTTGTACAATAACATCCTGTCCATGTTTACAACAGATTATATTGGATACTGCACAATGTGTTTGTTTCCTTCCATCACCATGCATTTCAGGCTCAACAATTACACCAAGCCCATCAACATCAACAACACTACCATCAACATCAACAACAACTTCATTAACAACACTACCATCAACAATAACAACAACTTCATTAACAACACTACCATCGACAACGATGAATGGTACATGTCAAAATCTAGGAAATTCATGTTCACCGAATGGAATCTGCCTTCAGACTACAGCAACACAATTTATATGTCAATGTAAAAACAATTATACAGGTTTACTTTGTCAAATGCCATTATTTTCAAATGCTACTGCAAACCCAAATTCATGCCAATGCGCTAATGGAGGAACGTGCTTAACCAATGGAACTTGTATTTGTACTGATCTTTATCGAGGAGCATTTTGTCAATTAAGTAATAAATCTTCCATTGCGATACAGAAAAAAAGAATAAATTAATATTTTAGATAATCCTTGTATTGGCTTCTGCCGTAATAATGGTACTTGTTCAGTTAGTTGTACAGATGCATCGTGCAGTTTACCGACTTGCCACTGTACGCATAATTATTCGGGTATACAGTGTGAAATAATAGGTAATAATACTTGCCAAGCGAATTCCTGTGTGTACGGAAATTGTACAACATCCACAAATGGCAGTTTTCAATGCCAATGTAATTATGGCTTTTTTGGAAATCGATGTGAATTGAGTAAGACAAACAAAAACCCCGTGAAAATTATATATTAAATATTCATTTCATATTTTCAGTCAATAGTTGTTTATCAAATCCTTGTATACAAGGTACTTGCATAGTATCATCGAATTGTGTAGGGCTACTCTGTAGGTACTCATGTCTTTGTCCTAATGGAACCACAGGTGATGTATAAATATAGAAAATATTGAAAATAAATAAATTATAAAATAGGTCAAAATTGTGAAATTGGTGGAAATCCTTGTTTAAGTAAACCCTGTCAAAATAATGGTACTTGTTCAGTATTAGCGACTACTTATGCATGTCAATGTCTATCGCCATATGGCGGTACGAATTGTGATACAGTTATAAATGTATGCACACCAAATCCTTGCTTTAACAATGGTATTTGTGTTCGAGATTCAAAAATCCAAGATGGAACATATCACTGTCATTGTCAAAATGGTTATACTGGTACAATATGTGAATATTGTAAGTAAGAAAAGGATAATCGAAAATCTTGGATTCAAATCGTGTAAGAACGGTGTTTACTAACAATAATAAAAAACAAATAGTAACTTCATTGAAATGGACCATCGTCTCTTGTTACTAAAGAAAAAGAATTTCTCTTAGCAAATAACATTTGAAATCAAGCTAAAGATTTTCTTTCAAACTTGCACAACGAAAGAGTATTGATCGATACGAAGTACTCAGTTTATGTTATATCGTCTACACATTAGTTTTTTGTTGAATAACCTGCAGTGGATCTGAAAATCTTACCGAGTTCGAAATCAACGGTGATCGCACGGATTCGTAAAAGTTGAGCACAGGAAAGATAAGCACGGCAGAAAAAAAACTTAAAAAAATAATGAATAAGCATAAACCAATTTATGTTAATTAGATCATATACAACATAACTATAATAAGTACAAATTCTGTGCAATAGTCTAATTATTCACACGAAATGAATACAGACAACGTAATTAATTGCGCATTTGGGTGTGTGGGTGCTACTCTTATTTTTCCTTTTAGTGACACCCACAGCCGCACCCTTAATAAATGTATTCCTTTACAACAATACCACTCTCTTTTATTACTACAACTTCGTTTTTCAAAAAATAACAGGAATGTTAATTTAAAAGTCATTTTTTTAAATTAAAATTACCTAAAACTTAAAGTCAAATTCTAACTAGAATTCTACGAAGTTAATTTTATAATAAATTCATTGTTTTTGAATTAAAATGTAATTAAAATTTAGCTTTACATGTAAAAAATTATTTCTCGTCGTAATCATTTTTTTAAAATAAAAATGTGTTACCTCTCAAAAAATGATATCAAACGAAGACTATTGACTTATAGAATTTATTCGGATTATTTGTTTTTAATGTTCGTAGTATCGAAAACCTAAAAATCCATTTCAAAAGTTTCCAAAACCACTTCATCCAATAGTCGAATAACTTTGTAAATCACAGAAAATTATCCGAGAAATTACTGAACGAATTGCACAGCTCAAGAGAGAGCACATTTTTCTTGGCTTTTCTTAGCTCCAGATTTCATCAGAAATCGTCTCCTTAAAAGACTTGAGTTGACTTTCATTTGATAGCAGACTGTTTCTCAATGCCACAGAAGAATTTTACAGAGCTAGATCATTTTTTCTTCAAAACGAATCTATTATCCATCATATCGATCTAGTTATTATTCCATAGAGTGTACATTTACGTGATTAATTGAATAACATATTGAACAAAATCCCTTAATTCAATAAATGTACTCTCTCCTTTATATACGACTAGCTTATCGCAACGAATTGTCTTGCGACGACATGTACTAGTGCCGAAATCATCAACCTAGAAATTTGACTTCCTATTTCTACAAATAAAGAAAATTTATACGATGCAAATGAGAAGAAACAATTTGATTTTGAATTTTTAGTAAACGGTTGTGTTTCTTCACCATGTCTTAATGGTGGTCAATGTATTTCATTGACTAATAATTGTTCGTCAACAACATGTCCTGTTAGTTGTGCTTGTTTGAGCGGTACAAGTGGCGTTTATTGTGAAAAACAAGACACTTCATGTTTAACACTTTCTTGTCTCCATGGCGGAACCTGTTTAACAAATCTAATAACCAATACTTCTTATTGTCAATGTCGACCGAATACTATTGGTGTTCGGTAAGATGTAAAATATTGTGATAGATCTATTTTTCTTTATAATCAATTTATTACAGATGTGAAACAATTCAATCAATATGTACTAGTGCCACATGTTCAAATAATGGCGTTTGTTATGTAGATGCATCAACTGGTAACAATACATTGGGATGTGTATGTTTTCCAGGTTTTACTGGTCAATATTGTCAATCATTTATAAGTTCTTGTATACAAAATCCTTGCGGATATAATGGTACCTGTTTTCCTACTTCTAATTCATCGTATTATTGTATTTGTCCAACCGGTTTAATTGGTCCCTCTTGCAATCCAAGTAGAGTCTTTTTTTTCTAGAAGAAAAAATCAAAAACTTATTTAGAGATCTCAATTTTTCTTCAAGGTACATTAACATCATGTTCAGAATCACCTTGCAATTATTTATCAACATGTCAGCAACTAACAAATGCAACTTCAATAAATTATAAATGCCTTTGTCCTAAAAGTTTAACTGGTGATCGATGTCAATATGCGAATTATTGTGAAAACCAGCCATGTCAGAATCAGGGTACTTGTTTACCACTGGGCTCAGAAAAGAGTTTCATGTGTCTATGTCAACCGGGATATGGAAATTATGATTGTTCAACGTGTATGTTGTTTGAAGTTTGATTGTAAAAATAAGTATTCGTTCGTCTAAAAATAGATTTGGGACGATCATGTAGTCCAAGTACATGTTTAAATGGAGGCGTATGTTATTCTAACAATGCAAGTATTCAATGTATGTGTCCATCTGGTTTTGCTGGAGCACGCTGTGAATGGAGTATGCGAAAAAAAGCCTCTTTGCTTCTTGTTCGATAAATATAAGAACGATATTTAGATTCGATTTGTTCGTCAAATAGTTGTTCAAAAGGTGGAACTTGTAGACAAACAGCTGCAACAATGGCTGAATGTTTATGTACAACTGGTTTTACTGGCCCAACATGCAATTTACGTATGTTGCGTTTTTTCTTCTAAAGAAAACACCGGTGTTAATATGAATTTTTTTAGGTGATTCTTGTGCTAATTTTCCATGTAAACGTGGTGGTGCCTGTAGAACATTAGATGTTGATACAGGCACGGGGTGGTCAGCATATCAATGTGTTTGTCCACCAGGATTTTATGGGACCACTTGCGATTCATGTGAGAATGAATAATCTGTTACTTTTATTTTCTAAAGTGGTTTTTCTTTAGCGATAAGTTCATGTGCAGATATGGTGTGTCCTTCATATAAAATTTGTAATGAACAACCAACAGGACCTGTTTGTACATGTCCGGGAAGTCAAGTTGGAACGTTTTGCCAATACGGTAAGATAAGTCTAAATCTGAATTTTTGCGAAAGACATCTGAACGTGCCCATGAAATTTACAGATTATATCTACTATCATATATTCTGAAAACTAATATATATGAATAGATTTGTGTTGATTTTATATTATTTAGAAAATCCTTGTAATCTATTATCATCATCGCATTGTTCAAATGGTGGTACCTGTGTTCCTTCAAATACAGATCCTCCAGTCGCTTCATGTCTTTGTTCGGAAACATTTACAGGTTTCAACTGCAATTCAATAAAACAAAGCAATCCGTGTGGAAGTAATCCATGTCAAACGAATGGTTATTGTGCATTATCAGCGTCAAATACTTCATATTCATGCATCTGCCAGCCTAATTATATTGGAAATCAATGTGAAAGAAGTAAAGCTAAAATAAATGGGTTTTAAATGTATTTGACCCTCTCGAGGTTTTTTTTAGCTAACCCATGTATATCCTCGCCATGTTTAAATCAAGGAGTCTGCCAAGGCTATTGGAATGCAACAAATACTTGGTACATATGTAGTTGTGTTGGAACATATACAGGAACACATTGTGAAACATCATTACTTAATCCATGTGGTGGCTTGTGTATGAATGGGTATGTTCTTGATTTAAAATTTTTAAATCTATAAAAATTTGCCTTGTGTTTTTCTTCTAGAAGTCCATGTGTTAACGGAACATGCGTTTGTCCGGCTCAATATACAGGAACATACTGTGGACTTAGTAAATATTTTTCTTCTTGATTTCAAAGTTCTAAATTAATTATTATATTCACTAGATAATCCATGTTACAATCCGATTTGTCGCAATGGTGGCTTTTGTTCAGTAAATTTCAATTCAACAAATGTTTCATTCACATGTACTTGTCAAAGCTCTTTCACTAGTCAATATTGTGAAACGCCAATTTCTCCATCATTAACTACTAGTTGTCTTCCACAATGTAACAATGGTGGTACTTGTGTTAGCGGTGTGTGTGTATGTGCACCACAATATATCGGGCCATCGTGTCAATATAGTAAAAAATTAGCATAAAAAAAAAGATTTCATTTTCCTTCATGTTCTAGCAAATCCATGTTTAAATAACCATTCTTGTCTAAATGGCGGTACTTGTTTTGGTCAATATTATTTAAATGGAACTTTGTATACACAATGTTTTTGTTCTCAAGGATATACAGGAACATTGTGTGAAGGTAATAATAATATAAACGAGATTCACATGAGAATATTTTTTTGTTTTAAACTTTTAGCAACACTCTGTTCGCCAACATCGTGCAATGGTGGTTCGTGTGTAGCCACTCAAAATACTATTTTTTGTTCATGTCCAATAGGAAAAGCTGGCGATCGTTGTCAAGTACGGTTTAATTCTAAACGTTCTTTTTGGTTTATTCTGAATTTATTTTTAGTATACAGATGCTTGTGCAAAAAATCCGTGTTCACCAAATCAGGCATGCGTACAAATAGAAAATCAATATCAATGTAGATACTCATTATTGTTTTCAGAAGAAAAAAAACTTCTACATCTATTTTGTAGGTATGGCTTGTTATGATAAAAGTACTTTTTGTTCAATCTATCAAAATTATACCGAATATTGTAATAGTCGTTACGCATTACTTATTAATAATATATTAGTACCCGTGCCAGACGCCTGCCAACTTTCATGTAAACAATGTAATCCGATAAAAAATTCGAATTCTAGTGGACGTGTATTAACTGAACTCAATGATGATAGTGATTCGATAGTGACAGGCAAATACAAGTATCTAATTGATAATATGCAAATGACTTCAATTCCAACACAAAATGAAATATCTTCGCAAGAAGAAAAATGTTTCGATAGGCGCGATGATTGTTCAATACAAAAAGCATATGGATTTTGTGCAATTTTTAATGAGAAATATCCCTATCATTGCGCGAAAACTTGTGATCCTGATTGTGCCAGTCTATCCTGATACACCTATTTTTGGCAACAAAAAGCAAACAAATATATTCTTCTAATCGCTAAAGTCAAAAAAGGAACACATCAACCAGTTGACATATACTATTTTTTGAAAATGATTGTTTACATCGATTCTATAATAAATTAAATAAAAAAATGTTGGAATTCAGAATAACTCTACTACTAACAATCAAACCGTGTAAAACAGATGAAAATAATTGCCTCCGTAATTTGATCGGAGGTAAAAGTTCGTTAGCCTCCAGCTATAGACAAGAACAACAGTCACGTCCACACTCTCAAGTTTCTATTTCGAAAGTACAATTGATCAAAGTTAACGCTTTATTCAATGGGCCATGAATTCAAATGGAAACTAAAAACTGTATTGGTTACTATCAATGAATCATACATACTTGCATTTGCAATCTACTTTCTATATTTCATCCATCAGGTGCAAAAAAAAATACATCTAACTTGCCATAAGAAGAGATCCTCCAGTATAACCGCCACTGATGGTGAAATAATATGTAATATTTCTTAATATTCTATTTTAATATAAATGGAAAAGCCGTTTTATTATTCATAGAGGACGACAGTTGAGAGAGTAGTATCCAACTTTGATAATTCACTCTCCTAAATTTTTCAATCATGATTTTTATCAAATAAAATCTACTGTCTTTTTTTATTTCGAAAAATAGTATTAAAATTTTCGGGTTTTCCCCTTGTAAAAAACCTATTCGTCTAGTAAATAAAAAATGAAAATATCAAATCATATGACAAATGTTGCTTCAGTACTCGTTCATATTAAATCCAAAAGAAATATCATCTAGAAGTACAGCAGCGTGGCGCAGTGGAAGCGTGCTGGGCTCATAACTCAGAGGTCGGTAGATCGAAACTACTCGCTGCTATAATCCTTTTTTTCTTTCTTTTTTCTTGCGTTCTGTCGAGTGATGCAGAACGCAACAGGAAGAAAGTTTTCGACACGCAGCAAAAACGTGCATGAGTCACGTATTGCCTTATGCAATACCTTAAAAATCATTGTCATATATTTAGTTATTTTTTTCCTTTTTTAACGATTTAGAATGGCGCAGCAAGTTGATTGTGATCATGAGGACGATTTTAAACTCATCAGTAAGTAGCATTTTTCCCCATCTAAATACAGAATATGGAAGAAAATATATTTCATGTGCCTATAATAAACTTGGTTATCGGGTATCATAAAAGTATTCCAATGATGCATAATTAATTATAAAAGAACATGATTGTTTTTTTTTCTAACAGAAACAGGCATCTTCGGAGCGATGGCAAGTACAACCACGTGTCCATCAATAACAAGTTTGACTTCAAATCAACATATTCCTAATATCGAAAAATCGATAGAACCTGCATCAATAAAAACGGACCAAACTACAGTTAATGAAGCTCAATTCTCATCATTAGTAAATACAAATCCTTTACCAACACGCTATGGGGCAGCCTCAATGATTCCACGTGCTGACGGTTTTGATATGAAATCGATTATCAATAGTAGTAGTAGTAGTAGTAGTAGTAGACCGAGTCTACCAACGCAAACAAATGATTTCATGAGTATTTTAAAAGATGAAAAAACGAAAAAGCAATCATACAACAACGATCACATTCGACAAATACTTGCTGATAATAATAATGATATTAAAGCACTTCTTCAAAGCGCTAAAAAAGCTCAACAAGATTTTCTTGATGCCATTAATCTCGATTAAAAATTTCTACATTCATAACCTATATTTTATTATACAAGAAAATAAAAATAAGAAAATCTATTAAAAAAGAAAGTTCTAATTTGAGAATGAATATGTGATAAGATTAATGATCATTGATACTTCGAAAAATGTTTTTAATATTCGACTGTTTGTTTTCGATGTAAAACGGTCACCGAAAATTATTATACTAAACCAAAAACAAATATTTATTGTAAAAAATGCCACTGAATATTCAACTACTGCTTTTGATAATTGATAAATTTTGTCTAATAAAAAATAATCAATATCATAGCCAACATCTCTAACAATTTCACGATGATGAACAGTGGCTTTTTCTAGAACGCTTTCTCGACAAAAATAAATAATCATAATAAATAAAACTAATCCTAAAGCACTTAGAAGTGTTTGCTTATTTCCTAATTTTTTTTTCAATCGTTTTTCAATTGTTTTTCTCATTAAAACGTCTCCAGTTGGTCGACAATCATGTTCAAATTGTCCTCGACGACGAATTGTATGACAGTAAATACATTGTACAGGTAAATCATCGAGCATATTTCGTATGAGTCGATTAGCTTTTGGTAAATCAATATTATATTGAAGAGGAATTGTATCGTCCCATGTCCATCGACATATTGGACAATATGAGTCAGCTAACTGTAATAAACATGAACGGCAAAAGGCACTATCACAATATGTATGTGTATGAGGATCTTCAAGGATATCCAGGCATATAGGGCAAGTTAACGATGGAGATATTACATGTTCATCGACATATATGTACGCGGTTTTATTCATGATTTTCGATGATGGAAAAACGTGTAAGTGAATAAAAACAAGAGCATAAAGAATACTTCACCGAAATATATGCATAAATGTAATATGTAGAGGTATGCAAGCCAATCGACAAAATCTTCAAAGGGAGAAAAAACAAAGGTGAAGAGAGAAAAACATACAGCAGTTGCACCTTTCTTCTTTTTTTTCTCTTTTATGTATACTCGTTGAAAGACATAGACGGGATTAGTCTCTCACTCTCTCCACTTTACTAAATGAAAACCACCAATCGTCGAGATTTTGTTGATGACTCATATATTTTTGTGACTTTTAACATTTTTTTCCTGGTACTTAAATCCCAAAGAATAATATTTTTCAAGTCACATGCACATGCAAACACTCACACAAACAGAAACACACATACACGGACAAAATGGTTATACATAACTTCTTAATGCAGATGTGTAAGATTAGTCAATCAAACAAATGATTGTTCATCATTTGTTTTACAGTCTTTTTGAATGGATTTAACCAGATGACTTGTTCAATTAGTCGACGTATTGATAAAATATTCTGTTCAATAGAATAAAAATGTTGATAGGATATAAACGGTATGATCATTTTAGATGGTGATATTGATATTGATGATTGCTGTTGTTGTTGTTGTTCTGTATCGTCAAGTGAATGTGTCGAATATCCATCATCATTATCTATGGTCGGTTCATCGAAACAAGATGATGATGATGATAATGACGAAGAGAATAATAATGGCGATGATGATGATGATGTAATCATTGCTGGACTCAGATCATCTTCACTTTCATCGAATAAATCGTACACATAGATATTTGATAATTCGATACATATCTTCGGTTCATCGTCTTCCCCATAGGAGAAATCTGTTATCTCATTTTCAAGATCTATTAAAATAGTTGAAATCAAATCAATAGATAAAAATCATAAAATATACACGAACCATCTTGTAATTCAGTTGAACTGAGAAAATATTCATTGTTTTTCAATGTTAATTCACATTCTTTATATTGATTTGATAGAATATTAATGTGAAATGGTAATTCAGTACTTCTATTATCAGTATTAGCCAAGATGATGTTCAATAGACCACGGTGATTATCATATTCTAGACCAATTTTAAAATCATCAGTTAAATAAACATTTTGATAAACGATATTCGATGTTTGAAACATTGATGAGGAGCTGGAAAAATAAAAAAAGTGTTCAACTTGTTTTTCACTCATACAGATAAATCAATAAGTACTTACGAATTTATATTGAATACAACCCCTAGAACGTTTTGAAATGCACTGTGAAAAATATATACCTCGATGCAATGTTATACATTTATATTTCTTGAATGCTTTTAAAGAGAAATATATTGGCTACATTTTTTTCCTTTTCTCTTTCTCTGTCTGTTTCTTCAGCTGATATAGATGAAACGAGAAGAAAAAAACTAGTTCGCGCTCTTTCTCTCTTGTATAACAAATGAGCGAATTTTCTTTCTAGTATACGATCGTGTCGTTCTATTTCCAAGTAATCACACTAAATCGTTGTGCGCTAGACGTGGACACTAGAAAAAAAACACTAACCAAGGATAATGTAGGCGTGCGTTGCTTTATCCCTTATTAATAGGTGAGCCTATAAAGATCTAATAGCTCATTGCTTCTTTTGCAGCAGAGACGAACGCTTGCATTAAAGCTTCACATATGGACAAGGACGATTGTCAATTATTGATAAGAAAAAGGACACTCTCAGCATTCCAAGGACGTATCATTATGATATATAGAACATCAAAATATGTACTTAGCAAAGTGTTTAGCATAGATTCAATGATGGAAATGAAAATTTTTTACAATTAGATTCGAACAATTTGTAGATAAATAATATCCATGGAAAACCAATGAAAATAGAGAATAGGGCTAAGTGCCTAAATTTCTACTAATTGTTTTCTTTTTTTTCTATGTAGAACAATGCAGCATTAGCCTACATTCAATAAAATTAAGTAACAAGAATGGTTTCTGTTCTAGCTGTGTTTTTTTTTCTTCATTTCAGAAATAAATATTACTTTTTGTTTTATTCAAATAGTAGATTGTGTTGCATATAAAATTTAAGTATTTGCGTTGGAAGCAAATCTTTATAAGTTTTCTTGCAAAAAATCATAGTTTTGAAATAGACATTTTTACGCGAGAAGTATTGACATTCAAGAATAAAATTAACTTATTCATGGAAATTGTTTTTTTAGAAGATTTCTCTTTGACATTGTTATAAATGTTAAAATAAAAATGACGCCTATCGTTTTAAGAAAATTTTTGATAGGAAAATTTGTTTTTAATCTATCGATTGAATACGCTACTCGAATGAAATATGTCTTATTTTTCAAAATCTTAAATCCATTAATGAGAAGAATTTTTGTATGTAGTACATTAGAATTTCAATATTATTCTATAGTGTTTATCAGACATACACATGTTATGAAGGCCATGGAAAATCGTCAATCTATTGACGATTGAAAACATAATGATGATACAAATGTAAGTGTTCCAAGCAGACGGAGAGAATAAAATAAAGATTATTTATTTTTGATAAAACACCTTTGTATAATAGCGAAAGTTAATGAATTTTATGTGTCAAAAATATAAGAAATAATCATGCCATTTAATCGTTTCGTTAATCTTTATATCACTCCATAGTTTATCAATAAAATAATAGTTTATAACCTTCAATGAAAAACATCAGTCTATTGACAAAAACATAAGACTAATATTATTTGATTGCTCTCAGGAGTATCGTTTACAATTGAGTTCGTCTAATTTGAATTGTGGTTTTATGGAATTGAAATAGTCTTAGAGTATTGTTTATTTCGTAAATTTAAGCAGACACGAGGTATCATAACTTCTATTTTTTTGTTTAAATGTGATATTTATGACTGCATGTCTTTTCTTTCTTCATAATCCAGTTCAATTTCATTATCACACCTAGAGATTTTATCACGTTGACTTCCATGTTATCTCTATGTTTATATAAAAAATTTTCTTGTAGTGATTTTTGAGGAAACTATTTAAAATGTCTTTGTATCTTTACGATGTTTACTGAGACTCGATGAATGAATTATACGAATCTTGTCATTGGCGATATGCCTAAACTTAGATAGAATATAAAAAATGATGATATATTATACGTTGAAGGCTAATTTGTTAAGAATCTTTACAATGAAACAAACTTGAATTAGTATGTACGGATTTAACTAATCAATTCAAGCTTTTGTACAAAAAGAAGCAACAGCGATACAAAACTGAGTATTAAATAGCCTTGGTTATTTCTACGTGGCGTGTTATTATGTTCTTTTGTAAAAGAATAATCGTATCGTATTGTATTATAATTTATGATGTACAATTATCAACATAAATTCAATGTCTTTCTGTGTATAATATCGTAGTAAAAGTTATTAGTGAAAATTTTTTACAAGAAACTCTTTTTCTCGCAACATTCTTGCGTCTTGTTGTTCGACATATGAAAATGAGATTTTATAGGTCAACAAGATAAGGGTTATGTTTCAAACTTTATCCGCTATTGTTGTCAGCAGAGCGTTCACTGACAGACCTATCAATACTAGTGCCACTGCTACTATAACCATTCTCTTGGTATTTTTTTACTTCAACAATCCTACGATAATTAGAACTATTACTTGTGGACTGCAATCAAATCATAATTTTACCGGAACCAAATTACTCCCGTTGCTTTTGTTTGCGTTTATTATTGTTTTGATATTCTTTAAAGTGTAAAATTCAATCACTGAAAAATCTTGTGATAATAATATATTATCAAATCTTGCGGTCCAGGGTATGTCCGTGGGTTTGGTTTGCGGTTGACTCTTCGTCCATACTCATACCCTACTCGAATATAATTCTATGGATAGTTTTAAAACTATCGATGTTTATTGTTCGTAATGTTAGAAATGAGAGCATGAAAAATACTTTGTATATAATTGACACTATTTATGAGCTGTGCAAAATATTTCTGTGGAACTTTAAAGGTGTGCGTCACTATAGTGCTTATACCATTATACAACTGTAGTTGTGAGAAAGCCACGATTTGTTTTTGTAAAACTGAATTTAGTCTAGTTATTACTGGGCACAAAGAAAAATGTTAGAATAAAGTTGCTTATTAAATCCATGAAAGAATTAGAAAACAAACTAGATGGTATCCGGGTTTTATTCGTACAAGAAATGCTATGCGAAACATGACCTCAATCTACGATAACATCGAAAATCCGAATAATGAATCCTTTAATTCAATAGAAATTAATATCGATTGAACGATTAATTATCTCAGATTAGGGGTGGCCCTTTGCCGTTACTATCCTTTAAAATAAAGGATTTGTTTTTTAAACATTAATGCAGTAACAAACTCATATGATCATAGAACTGATATTTAGAAAGACTTGTATAACTGAAAAAATGTATTTGAAGAAAAAGCAAGGTAGTGTGAAACGAAATACATTTGGAATTTTTTCCAGATATTTAGCAGATATCGACTTTAACAACGACGAATGGATCAAAGCTAATATCATATTCAGAATCAACATAACAAATGGAGTTGACTTACGGGCGTTTCGAATAATTTTGAGATATTTGTTTTTTTCTTAAAAACTTCACCCACGCCCACACTCAAGTATAAAAGAAATTAGATAGTATCCGAGTTTTACTCGTCTACGAAATACGATGCAAAGCAAGACTTGAATCTACACACTAAAGTCGAAAATATTAAAAATCAATGTTTTCATTCAAAAGAAATCAGTGTTCTACACATGATTTTCAAAATCTTCTAGGTTTACTTCTCTTACTGTATTCAAGAATTTAGAAAAAGAAAAGTTTCTTTGAATAGCTTGACTTCTGAAGTAGCCATATTATAATTAATCACGGAAAAAACTCTATCCAAGCTTATCAAGATATCCATAGAGAACTATATCGATTGAACAATTTGTTGTTTCTATGATTTATTATCTTAGATCAACTGTGAAGAGACATGCGTGTGGGTCAAGGGGGAAACAGCGATTTGTGATTTTGTGATTTAAAATGAGTTTACCTGATTTCGGTGATTTAAAATGAGTTTAAATGATTTAAACTAATTTAAATCATTCTCTTTCTCAGTGAGAATTTTCAATTTATTGCAGTTTTCAGCTTTTATACGATATATGGCTGAGATCTAAAGAATTTATATTTGTTTTATTCAGATTGTTTCATATA